GTCTTTGGGTTTTCATTTCTTTTCTGTGGAGCGCCCTTGTACACCAAGTTAAAAATAGGATTTGTCTGCCTTCTGTCCTGTTGATCTGTCTCTGTCAGTTTAATTTTCAGGCTTCAGGTACAGAAAATAGAGAACAGGTTTTCTTCCCTGATGAGCTATATTCCCAAAGGGAGAAAATCTTAGACTAGAGCAAATTCTAGTTTTCCACAAAGAAAGTTTTTTCTTCTCTGTGTCATTGATGCTCAAGTACACATATTCCTAAAAAGAGGTGCAAATGTACATCCTCTACTTATTTAATATTATCAGTATTTATTGAGTTAATTCATATCATGCCCTTTCGTTGGCACTGAGACCCATTAAAGAGAAGCTTTTTGCCAATGATCAGAGAATGAGTTACTAATAGTTTAGACAGAATTATGTAAATATCAGAAAACATTTATACATATATAATTTCTCTAAACATATAGATATTAATTTACTAAAGTTTTGGGTTAGAGTTCCATATTTTCTTTGTATGACTTTTTAAAATTTTCATTTGTTGAACTGTAATTTATATGAAAAAAATATTAGGATCTTAAGTATACAAGTTGGATGAGTTTTGATAGTTGTAGTTGATTGACTTTTTATGTAATATCACTCATCCCACTTACTTGACTTACCTATTTATTGAAAAACACCAATCTCTGGACATAGGAAATGCCACTTCATTTCAAGCTGGCAGCTCATGAGCCGAGTTATAAAATGCCCATGGCATTTTCCTTGTTTATTCATATTGCTGGCATTGTATTAACCTCTGAAATGAAATTTTTGAGATTAACCTGAAACAATATTTACAATATTTTTATGTCTCACTCAAAAACAAATTTCGTGAACATAATGCATCTCACTTCAGCTACCAATGGGATCATGATCCCAGGGATTGTCTAATCCTAGGGAAAGAGATGAAGTGGTCAGTGTGTTTGCTGTGACCCTACTTTACACACTTACGCAGGAGAGCTGGCCTTAACCTCTCAGGTCACTCCCAGTCTCCTACTAAAGACAGAAAACCCAGAGAAAATGGTGGCTGTCACACATTTGAAGGACTTTCCTGCAGACCTGATCTTAATACTATTTGCTAGCTGGCTTCCCTTCACTCGTTCATTCATTCTTTCACTTATCCATCAGTCAACTAAACCCTTCCAAGAGCTAACTCTGTGCAGGCCTTATGTGAGGTGCTAAGGATTCAGCCAGCGAACCTACCATTGTGAGCTCTTCTGGTCGGGAGGCAGATGTTGACCAAATATCCTCTTCGTAATCCCTAGTCTAGGGGAAAGCTGCCAGGAAGAAGTTTGGAGAGGACATGCAGGGTCCAAGGCAAAAAGAAGTTCAGCAAGTGGAAGTAAAAGGAAGGAAGGCAGCGAGCGAGGCTGGAGGGCTGGGAGCAGGAGTAGAGCCAAACTAGACAGGTGGCCGGGGGTGTGTGAGCGACGGTGAGGAAGTTAAGGAAAAATGAAAGGGTGTAGATGGAGGACCAGCTGGTGGAAATTAAGCTGTGATGGATTTCAACTCAATATAGAAATACAAACTGTTTAGCAGGAAGAAGAGAGAACCTTGGGGCATGGAGTGTTTCATATCACTAGTAGTGGGTAAGGGGAGACTGGAGAGGATGCCCTAGCACAGATAATAGGTTGGACACCAGATGGTCCTAAGTCTGTGGCCCTGAATGTCTCAGAAGTCTCTTCCCACTAGTCAAGGAGGCAGAGATGAGATGATTTCCTGGGATTTTGTAGGAAATGCCTTTCATTGGCATCTAGTGGGTGAGAAATGAATCTATTTGCGTTTCTCAGACTGGCTGTAAGAGAATCAATGATGTAATGAATTTTGGCTAAAAATACAGGTATATAGATCCCACTCCTAAAGATGCAGATAAAAAAGGTCTGCAGTAGGAACTGGGAATTTACATATTTAGATAAAAAAATTATAAAGCAAACTTTAAAAACTTTTGCAGGAAACAAGAAAGAAAATCTTTATGACATCATGGTGGTAAAAGATTTCTTAAAGGCAGACAAAGAAAGATCATAAAGGAAAAGATTGAAAATATTATACTAGAATTTTAGAAATTCTGTATGATTACATAGACAATAAAAGAAAAACAACTTACTGAAAGGGGATGTTTGAGATTTCTTAGCAAAAAAAAAAAAAAAAAAAGGTTGGTATTTAGAATATATAAATCCTACAAATCAGGAAAAGACCAAAAAAAACCTAAAAAGGAGTGGGCACAGGATTTGGAATAGGTAGACCATGGAACAGGTAGTCCAAATAGTCAATAAGCATAAAAGAAATATCCCTTGGGCTACCAGGGGAATGCAAATTAAAACCAGACCTCAGTGAGATACCATTGTATATCCTTAACACTGGCAAAATCTAATGTCTTACAACACCCAGTGCTGGCCAGGATGTGGAGCAAGTAGAGCTCATAAACTGTTCACAGGATGTGAATTGGAAAGGAAATGTTTCACTAGGAAGAAAAAATAACAATGCACACACGACCCTGCAGTCCACTCCTGGGGATATAATCTAAGGATGTGACTGCACCTGTATTCAAGGGGACATGTAAAATGATGTTTATTACAGTATTGTTTAAAAATTGAAAACAATAAAAATGTCTGGTAATAGTATGGACAAACATTGGGATATTGATACAGCAGGACACTGTAAGTGAATGAATTAGAGCCACAGGTAAACCCATGCACAACTCTCAAAAGCACAGTGTTTAACCAAAGAAGGTAGTTGCAAGAAGATATATATGGTATGGCATTCTTTTGTATAAAAATTTAAAACATGCTACATTATATAATGTATTGTTTATGAATAAGTACATAGATATAAATATAAAAATGTAAAAAAAAAGCTAGGCATGGTGCATACCTGCAATGCCAGCTACTCAGGAGACTGAGGCAGGAGGATCCCAAGTTTGAGGCCAGCCTGAGCATCTTAAAAACACCCTGTCTCAAGTTAAAAAAAAAAAATTGAAATAGTTGTGGATGTACAAATATGGTATTTTTATGGTATTTTCTTTGTGGTATTTCTTTGTGGTTCAATCTCCAGTACAACAAAAAACAGAATAAAATAAAATAAAATTAGCAGGATGTACAAGCCCAGTTAACAACTATGTCAGGAGAGGGAGAGATCAAACAGGTCAGGGATAGGTACATAGGAATTCAAGTGTATCTGTACTGTTCATTACATAATTCTTTATTATTATTTATCTTGAAGTATTTCATAGTAAAACCAATAAGAGGAAAAAATCCAGATGATTCTGATAGAGAGCTAGGTTTGAGAACCAAAGTCTAGAACATGGCATCTCATGTTTCAGTGTTAGATGCATCCCTGGAAGGTCTGTTAGAATGCTGATTCTGTTTCAGTGGATCTGGAGTGGAACCTGAGATCCTGCATTTCTAACAAGTTCAGGTGCAAGGAGCACACTGAGTAGCAAGGGTCAAAATGACCTTGGTGCTTCCTATACTTCTGGCCACCTACAAACTGTACATAAGTATGCTCTGGGTAGCACATCTCCCTTTAAGGTCTGGGTGCACATCCAAGCAGGTCTATGACTCCTAGGAGGGAGACTTTGAAAAACTAGGGAAGACAGATCTTGGAGGGATTTCCCCACAGAAGTAGATCTGCAGTGGTTAAAGGAGGTGCACAGCAACATATGTTGTCTGCTGAGTCTTTTTCCTTACATTGAGTTTCTGTTTAACATTTTTTGGTCATGCATTCATAGATGCCCATGGAGCAGTGCTTTCCAAAGCAAATTCTACCTGAGCCTGAAAACCTAGCAATCTTAAGCTTACAAAAACCGGAGAAGCCAGCAGATCCTCTGGAGAGGCAGGAGGGAGGGAGCAGGTGTGTGGACATTCCACTTTGCAGGAATCACTCACTGTATAGATACATCTCTCAGGTGTCCAGGTGGTGGGTCTTGAGCTGACAAGAATGTGGCAGCTCCCAGGCTTTGTGTACACTGGAGACCATCTTACCAGCTTCCTATAGACAGGTGTGCTTTACGTGCTCAGTATTTTTGTTCCTGGGAAGTTCTGTGGACTTTGGATTTATCTCTTCCACTGCACCATAAGCTCTCTGAGAGCTGAGACCATGCATCGCAGATTTAGCACCTGGCACAGTACCTGGTACCTTGTAGGTGCTGAGTAACTGTCTCTGAATGAGTAAAAGAACTTCAACTCTAGTTTTTCCACAACCTCTCCAATATTTGGTGTGGTTGCCACTTTTTATTTCTGAAATATAACTTTGAAGGCATTGGTAGAGATCATTAGTGAAGGGAATCTTGCAGTGAATTACCATAAAACCATCAATACTAGAGAATCAGATAAATTCTAGAGCACACATGTCTTTGCCAGAAACTTAGTGGACACATAAATATTGTAGAAGGAATTCATTCCAGAATGTTAAACAAAAGAGGATTTAAATGGCTGGGCGTGACGGCACATGCCTATAATCCTAGTTACTCAGAAGGCTGAGGCAGGAGGATCACAAGTTTTAGGTCAGCCTGGGCAACTTATTAAGACCCTGCCTCAAAATCAAAAATTTAAAGGACTAGGGATGTAGCTCAGTGATAAAGTGTCCTTGGGTTCAGCCTTTAGCACTTCAAAGAGAAAGTTTGGAATGAGAGAGTTAATTGAACAGCATGACATCAAATGTGTCTGAAGGTGCAGCAGGGAATATTACAACCGGAGGTTGGGAGGCAGGGAGGTAGAAGAAGCAGAGATACACCTTCAGGTAGAGCAGAGGGGAGCAGAGCTAAGCATTTATTCATGATGAGTTTATTCAACAGATAGTTATTGATGATCTACTACAACAGGCACTCTGTAAGATGCATTGGGTGTGGTGATGGCCAAGATATGTGAAGTTTCTGACAATTAGAATAATTAGCATTTATTTAATAACTACTTAATGTGCCACACATTGTGCTAAACACCTTATGATGTCTTTTAATTGCTTCACAGAGACAGATACTATTTTAATCCCATATTACTGATGAGGAAACAGGATCAGAGTGGGTAAGTAGTTGACTGGGGTCACAGAGCTAGCAAATGGTGGGACCGAAATTCAGGCCTAGGACCACCTTATGGCTGATTCATCTTGCTAAGGGAGGGTACACTTAAGATCCTAGTACAAGGACTGTACCCCCAGACACAGCAGGAGAATAGGGAGCCATCTGGGGAGTTCTAAAAATCAAGGGGCTCTGATTTCCCAGACCCCTTCATTCCAGACCTCTTCCTCATACTTCACTGCCTTCAGAAAAGGACAGAATTCCTCCATTTCATCATTAGAAATTAATGTGTAATTGCATCTCTGCTTTTCTGTCACTTGACATATCTTCACAAAACGAGACAACATGCCATCAGCTATTCGAAACCTGTGTTAGGACACCCTGAGCTCCCTCCAAGCCCAAATCTGAAATCCAGCAGTTAAACGCTTCTTTGGCCTTCTTTAGGGGAATCCCTTCCATCTGTCTCTTGCTCTCAGCTTGGGTGGAGGAGGGGGAGGGTCCCTCCTGGAGATCCTGACATTGAAGTGGCTGTTGATAGGCTTCAAAAAATTGCCTGTTGATTTTCACAGATTCTCTCTGCTACCCAAGAGGCGTCCCCATTGTCACTGTTGGCTTTAACCCTTCCACTGGGGCTGGGAAACATTGAAGCCCGTTGTGAGGGTCAGCACTGATCTCTGGGCCAGTTTGAGTGAGGGCCTGTGTCATGAGTTGGCTTTCCCTTTGGGGGTTGCTCGGCTCCCTTTTTTCTCTTGTTCAGTTTTGCCAGCTCTTGCCTTTTCAAAGGGCATTATCCTGCTTTCCAGGAACCTGACTTACATAACTGCAATTCGGGTAGCCTCGGTGTAGAGCTGGAAGTCTTTTCTCCCTCCCAGGCCATATGTAGAAATTGAACATGGAGGTCCTCCACTCTGTTCATGCTTGCAAAGTGTGATCCAGCACTCTCACACATTCATTTGCTGAAACAGAAGGGTTTCTATTTCAAGCTGGGCCACACTGCATGTGGGGAATTGGAAGCCCCGCGGTTCTCGGCGGCACCTGCCTGGTTCTGGTGGCATCCTCCAGCCAGGTTTCATGTGTTTTCCCCGTCATTGCAGCAGTGGGCCTCAGGTATTTTCCAGATGAAGTCACCCTGCGAGGCCAGCAATTTTAGGAAGGAGAGTGGTGCTGAGCTGGGGTGTTCCCCTCAGCCTGTCCTGGGAAGGCTGGTGCTTGACCCAGGTCCTCCTTACTGCTGCAGGAGGGAAAAAGGACATTTTACTTAAAACGCATTAAAAAGTTCATACCCAGGGCTAGGCAAGTGCTCAGAAGTAGAGCACTTGCCTAGCACATAGGAGGTCCTCAGTTCCATCCCCAGCACTGCAAAAAGAAAGAAAAAGAAAAGAATAAAAAAGTTGATAATCATTTATGCTAAGCTTTTCTTCCTAGGTCTCTCTCTAAAAGCCTAAGAGGAACTTATATTAATAATAAGAGCAATAATAATAGATAACATTGAGAGTAGTTTCCATGCAGTAGACATCATGGTTAGTGCTTTGTCTGCTTAGAACCCTGTCAAGTAGGTGCTGCTTTCAGCCCAGTTTAGAGATGAGGTGACTGATGCCCAGAGAGGCTAAGAACCCAGGTGTGCAACAGAGCAATGCTCGGAAGGATCACACTGCACCTCGTTGTTCATGGAAACCTTGACCTAGGCCTTGATCTTCTTTATAAAAGTGCTGTAGAACCATTTGCAGGTTTCCTGGGGATTCCAGTGGTGTCTGGAAGAGCAGTATTTTTCAAAGCATTGTCTGTGGGTGACCTGCAGCGGAAGTCTTTTGGTTGCTTGTTAGGATCTCAGACATACCAACCACAACCTCTGTGAATCTGCACTTGTACAAAGCTCCCTTAAGGAGTCTGATGGATTTTAAAATCTAGAAGCACCTGAACCCAGCTATAGGGATTCATGGACTACTTGAAGGGATGACTATTTTCCCCCCTATAAGGGGCCAGTTAGTAAATAGCTTGGGCTTTGTGAGTCCTAGTTTCTGTTGGAACTACTCAAGTCCTCTGTCATTCTGCAGAAGCAGTTATAGATAATCCATAACCGATAGGCATGGCTGGGTTCCAGTCATACTTTGCTTTCAAAAACAGGCAGGGGCTGGATTGGTCCACAGTTTGCCAATCTCTGATACAGAGTCCTTGTGGCCTACCAGCCCTCTGACACCCGCCTTTTGTGGAAGTTATTCTAATACTAGTTTCCAGTACCTATGGAGAGCTATATTGATGGAGATAAAATTACCTGTTTTAATAGATAAGCCCTGGCTCTTAATGATTGAAAACAGTATGAGTTGGTCCTTACCATCAGCACAGCCCAGCAAGGGAATTCCCAGTTAGAATCTTCTATGTTGCCATTTGAGACCAAGGCTCCTTCCAGTCCTCATCCTCCCCATTCAGCTAGCAAATAAAGAAAGAGACCATGGGTTATTCATGAGAAATGGTCACAGGCTAGATCAGGAAGAGGCACCTCTCATGCCTACCTGCATTTCACCTGCATTTCACTTGACTCTTATTTGGAGTCCAGAAACAGAGTGATTTGTCAAGTCCTTGAGGCCTCTTTTCTATTCCCTTTTTCTATTTTTTTTTTTCTATTCCCTTCTATCTTCACTTGAAACCCATCTAGTTCTTTCCAGAGCTGGTCTCTTTCTTATAAAAACCCTTGCTAAGGTCAGCCAGTAGGAGCTGGCACTGATTTCACTCTGATTCTGTCTGACCCTTTCCCAGGAGCTGCAGCCTCAGAAAGTACATGGTCTACCTTCTGAATTACTGTGGATATGAGTGTTACCAAATATTTTGTGACTATATAATACACATTGCCACTTTGGGGACCTCTGAGATCAGTTTTCTCACTGGCTACTGTCTGCCACCAGGTCTATATCTCGGCTGTTATGTTGTTGCTGCAGGGTACCCTCACGAGATGCTGTTTAGTTCAGTCAACACAGTGGCTTTAGCAGGCAAACCCAAATCCTACCTGACTGGTACAGCTAAATGTTTGTTTCTTGCTCACATCATATTCCAATTTGGATACTCTTTGGTATGGCCTTTCATGTGGGCATTCAAAGACATGGGTTTTTTCCACCCTAAAGCTCTGCCCTCCTGCAGGTCCTTCTGGTGGCCACCAGGGAGGACAGCATGCCTTCCAGGAAGGGATGTGCCTGGAAGTGGTTCACCCACTTCTGCCCATACTTTTGGCCAGAGCTGTCACATGGTCACATATACTGTAACAAAGGCCAGCAAATGTAGTCCAGCAACAAGCCCAAGAGAAACAGGTTTTGGTGTACATATAATAATGGCTGCCTTATGGGCCAAGACTGGCTGGATGGAGGGAATAAAGACCAGTGGCCATCAGGGAGGATGGCAACAGGCAGCCTTCCTCCCTGCCCACAAGGGATGCCTTTAGGCACTAGCTACCGAGACCCTGAAGTTATGGGCCCTGACAGGATGCCTCCACTAAGGCAGCAAGCATTTACTGCTTGTCTGCCCACTCTGTGTCAGGCAGAGGGCCAGTCCTGGGACTGAGAGGAGAACAGAGCTCCTCTGGAGCCCAGGGTTATCCCCTCCACTTGGAACCCTGGTGCTTTATGCCTGGGAAGGGGGCACTTCTGACAACTGCTTTTGAGTGCCTCCTGCAACCTGAGAAATGCACCCCATAGAGTCCAGCCTGGCCCCTACC